TAGGCGTCTTGTTCGACTTTGGTCGCTTGCCTCAACAGCCGTCGCGTTATTTGCAACAGTGAGTCACCCTAACCCATGGCACTAGGGTGGCGCAATGGTCGTGTTTAGTTAAGTTATTCCAAAGTGCGAATGGCCTCAAACTTGGCTTGTGTGTTAATGGCATTTGTGAGTAATGTGCGCAAATCTTCAACTGTTCAAATGTTAAAAATAACAAAAATTATATATTTATATGTGGACTGGTAAGTTCTGTTGACCTGTTGACATTTGCATAACGTTGTCGACGATTTTTCGCCAGAAGCACATTTGCTGGAATTTTGCCGATTTCAGCTCTAAAAGTTAATTAATTCGTCTACGCTGTATGTAAAGTAGCCCACTTCGAATTGGGGTTTCTTTTTATTTTTATGGCCTTTCAGGCGCCTCGCCAGTTGATAAATACCTTTGGTTGGCCGACTAAATAGCCTGATCACGGCTCACACTTGTGCTTTCGCAGACAATTTGCGTCAATTAATTGATTTCTTGCTCTGTGTAAGAAAATATTCCATTCTATTATTATGCAATTGCGATGCGTACCCTCTTCAGGCTTGGCCCTGAAATGCAGGCCATGCGATTCCCATTCAAGCAGCTGCGTGCTGGTCATTAATGTTTCTATTATAGTACATTAAAAAATTATACAATGTTGCTAAAGAAATCTATAGCTAATATTGGCAAAGTCAACGGATTGGCTAAGCAATTGCCTTGGGCTTGGCTAAGTAAGTAGTTTGCGGCAGCTCCTAGGTTAGCTTCGGTTAGTGCCGGTTAACCCTCGACTCACGTTGACCATAATGTGACGATGTGCTTTTTCGTCAGGGTGGAGGTTTGTTAGTTCCTAGCTTTGTGAGTTGCTTTCAAATGTGCCTGCAGCGGATCTTACTCATAGCTACAAATTGACTAGAGTATGCACATATATATCAGTTAATCCCTTTAAGAGGCTTTATTGTAGATCTGCATAGTTTTCTATATATTGAGGCATTTCTTATATAAACCATGGCCACAACTCAGGCACTAAATGAGATATATTGCTGAAATTGATTTTTTCTGGGTCGACTAGCCAATTTAATTTCTTTATCCCTACAAGACTAACACCTCTATAGCTTAGATTTTGCTCGACTAACTATGCCTTGTATAAAAATGATAAGCATTACAGAGTATTGTGCGTGGAGTCTTCTCTTCCTCGTCTAATGTCATCTATTCCAAACAATTTAGAAGATATATAGTCTTAGCCTAGAGTCTAAGTTCATAAAATATGCTACGAAATTAATAAGTGCTGCCCCGTTTTAACCCAATTTGTTTAAAGAATAACCAATACAGATTCGATCTCAGACAATAACTCAGCCCGTACTTATCTCCACGTATTATTTATGATCTACAAACCAATACAAAAAACTGACCATATCATATGACGGGGCGTGTCCATGTTTTGTACAACACGAAGCCACAGCGCTGGCTACTCATATATGTACACTTAGCTCGTATAATGACTATATATATATGCTGGCCGCCTGCCTGCCGGCCTGTCTGTGTAATTTACGAGTATCGTCTGAGGACTTTGTGTATTCAACTAGCTAACTGCAACTGGCTGCAGTTATGTGAGCCAACTGCCGAAGGTGGTGTCAGTTGCCAGTTGCCAGTTACGGCTGTGTTGCATGCCTCTATTTTCGATATGTGTGCCGACTGTCGGCCAATGTGCCAGTTACTGGCCCTTTGCAGCCTGCCTGGCGGTTGCGTCAAAATTTTCTGCAAATGCAAATTTGCACAATAGACGCGTTCCATTGAACTCGAACGTAGGTCGGCTTTTGGTCTTAGCGTATTTTTAGTGGAATATCCGAAAGCGAAACCAATAATAAATTTCCAAATACACCCAACAAATTGTTATAATTAATGGCGAGTACATTGAACCCTTTGGAACGTCTTCGCTGCTGACGCAAACGGAGACAGCTGTGACAACTCTCAAGTCACTCTTGTAATAGCTTGACAAATCAATCGGCATTTAGGGAACCCAAGTCAAGTTGTCAACGACTCCTAGCTATGACCGGTTGATTGAACTTACGGCGCGCGGCTTAAAACCAATCGATTTGAACCTGGTAAATGGAGAGCCCTTGGGTTAAGCTAGGTAGCCAAAAATAAATAGAATTGTTTGCCTGACCTTCAACAGCTGCTGTCAAGTATTGGATACCCTGTAAACATTTGGCTACAAGGTCTGTATGAAAAGGCGATTATCTACAATACAGTTTTTACAGACGTCGGCCAAATGTATTATCAGATATAAGGAGAATTCGCATGCGTAAAATTATCCCGTATGCACTTATCAGAGGAAGTTTTAGAATTAGGGTACTTTGAAATTAAGCATAAAACAAGTTATTTAGATCTTTGTCTTTATCTTTAAAGTTTGCTGATTTTATACAGGCTTATTCCATTGAAAACTCCAATGTTATTAAAAAAGCACAAGATAATATCATTGACATTTTTTTACAGCGCATCTTAAAGTTTAGCTTTGTCGAACTTTTGGATATTTTGTTATTCTGCTTTTCGTGCACTATAAAAACGGAACTTTGTTCGCCTTTTCTTGGGATTATATTTGTTGTGTTTCGTGTGCTTTTCATTTCGTTTGCATTTGATTGGGTTAACCCCCAGGCTTGACCCACACGGGAGCCACAATCAACGTGCGAATTGTGTTTACAAAAAACCAAAGCAAAAGGTGCAAAAGTGTTTGTATTCTTGTGTATTTTGATTGTTGTGGCCGCAGTTGCCGTTTTTTTATTTTTTATTTTTTCTTTGGTAGGGTGCACAATGTCAACGTCATGAGCACGTTTCTCCAATTTATTTAGCCGTTTCGCGTGGCCTTTATGATTAGGTGGGCAGGAAATACACAAAAAATATGAAATTAGCTGGAAATTAGCTGCAAAGAACTAAAACATAGTCTACTTTTCTGCGTTGGACAACGGTCTATAATTACAGAAGCACAAAAAATGAGCGAGCAAAGTGAAAGCCAAGTAAATGCTGTAGAGGAGCAGGCACAGCCTGAGGAAGCAGCCAGTGAAAGGGAAACCGTTTCGAAGGAAAACGAAACAGCCTCCAGCTCTCCAGCTGAGCAGCAACCCGATGAGCCCGAAATGGAAAGTGAAACGTTGCCAAAGCAAACCACAACAACTGCCACAGAAAGCGAAACTGAAAACCAGGAGGCGGTGTCTGGTGCCACAAGCTGCCCCACAGCAGGCGACACATTGCCTGACCAGGTCAAGCCAGAGTCCGCGCAGCAGGACTTTGCGGACTATGAACAGCATGTGACTTATGCGGCCGATGGCGGCGCCATTTACACGGATCCCAGCACCAAGCAAAAGTACAAATGGTGCAATACCGAAAACAATTGGCAGCCACTGACGGCCGATGAGGCGTCCACGGCGGGCAATCTCTATGAGAACGAGCATTACAAATGGTGTCCGGAGACGCAGAAATGGCTGCCCAAACAGTCAAGCGCCTCAAGTACCGAAACGGAGCACTACAAATGGGATGCGGAACAGCAAAAGTGGTTGCCCAAGCAGCCGCAGCAGCAGCCACAGGCAGCGCCTGGCCAGGATGTGGTCTATGGCATCGATGAGAACGGCGATCGCATCTACACAGACAAAGATGGTATCGTCTTCTTGTGGGATGCCAGCAAATCCGCTTGGTTTCCCAAGATCGATGATGATTTTATGGCGCGCTATCAGATGAACTACGGCTTCATAGACAACACCAGCGCCGGTGAGCGTGAGAAGGAGGAACGTGAGGCAGCCGAAGTCAAGCGCAAGGCAGAGGAACTTAAGCGCATGACAGCCGAGGCACAGGCGGCCATGAATGCGCCCATTCTGGACAAAGATGGTGCACCAACTGCTTCTGTTACGGGCAAGCGCAAAGCACAAGAACCGCCAAGTAAGTACACTAGCCTTCGCTTTAAATCCTCTCTAACACATCTCCCGCTAAACCTTTCAGAATGGTTCGAAGTAGATCCCACGCAGAACACCAAAGTCTATGTCTCCAATTTGCCTCTGGACATTACCATGGATGAGTTCGCCGAGCTGATGGGCAAATGCGGTCTGATCATGCGTGATCCGCAAACGCAAAAATACAAACTAAAATTGTATACCGAAGCTGATGGACAAATCAAAGGCGATGGCTTATGTGATTATATTAAGGTAAGTTCGTTCTCAACAGTTTTTTACACTTGGAACAAAAAAGAATGGACATTATTGAAAAATTCTTGTAGAAAATGAATATGAAACCGCTTTGTAGCTTTAATAGCTGAATTTTCTTAAGACGTCTTAAAAAACAGAAAAGCTTTGAAAAGAAAAACTATTCTCTACCGAACTTTGCTATGCCAACTGCTTATAGTAGTTATAGTAGTCCGATCCGATCGCCTTTGACATTTGTGCTGGCAGATTGAATACTCTTCAAGCACATAAGTCATAAGTAAGACAAAAGTCTGCATTTTTTTATCATTAAGCTATAGTTATATATCTTAATGCCAGATCAGCTAATACAGTCCGCTTAATTAATATTAGAAATAAATCAAAAACGTTTCGTTTTTCTTTTCTTAGTGTTGTGTTTGAAACTTTATTTGTTTGTTTAACTAAATTAAAACTGCTTGCATTAATTTTAAAGATATTTTAATATGTATTATTAATTTTTATTATTATTATAATATGCTCATAATATTCAGTTTGCTTTGCTTTTCATGCGTGTGTTTAATATTCACCCTACTTCTGCTGACTATTTCTCATCTCTGTTTTTTTTTTTTTTTTTTTTTAGATTTTTTTATATAATATTGATATATGTATAGTTTTATATTTGTTTTTAAAATTGGTTAGTTGTTGTTTACTTGGTAATTTTAAAATGCATTTACTTGGCTACTAAAAATTGCTTTTCACTTCTCAGCTTTCTATCCTTCATTTAAGTCAAACAAAAAATAAGAAAACACAATTTGAAAGTAAAATTTCACGTTAAAGACACTCTGTACTTTTTTCCATCTTAGTTTTGTTATTTTTCTTTTTCTCTTTCGCTTTTGAGGTACATATTAAAAAATACAATAAATTTACATTTAAACATACAATAATTATTAAATATAAAATATATTTATTTATAACCTAGTTAGTTGTTAGTACAATAGTTACGCTTAGCCCTTGCAATGGGTTTCATCTCTTTTAGATTTTGTTGTGGTTAGAAAAAAAGTTTCTCATGTTATGCTTGGCTTATAAATTATTGCTTCCTGGCCAGTCGGAATAACCCATGGGTGGCGGGGGAGGCTGAGGAGGCGTGGCCTTCTGAGTATGGTTGTAGACACAACAGGCTGACAAAAAAATGAGGAGAGATGCGTTCCACTTAAGTTTAAAAAGCATTATATTCTTTTGCTCTAATTAAATACGCATTGTTCTGTGCTTTTTATAAGTCATTAAAAAAAAAAAGCTGTGTTCTATGCTTCTTCTTTCTTTTGTTTGGTTTATTTTGAAATGCTTTTGCTAATTTTGGTTATTAAGGAAACAATGTGTGCGTGTGTGTGATTGAGTGTGTTTATCTGCTAGTTCTATCATATATCATATCATAGATTTATATTTATATATATATAAATGTATATATATTGGCTGTACATTACCATATAGAGCTCGATATTGAGTGCGCGCGTGAACTTTTGCGTGGAAATATTTCATTAATCGCATATTTTCAAAAAAGTGCACGACTATTGCAAATGTTTTGTTACCTTATAATGTTTGATTTCAACTTTTTCTTGCGTTTTCCTTTATTGTAAATAATACTTTTACGTGTTTTTCGCATAAAACAAAATAAGAAACAAAAGAAAGAAAACACGTTTACACCCAAAAGTTTGTTGACGATATGTTTACTTTGCCGTTGCATTAGTATTGGTTAATGTGCGTCTCTCTGTGCGTGTGTGTGTGTGTGTGTGATTTACTGCATGTCGTTTAGCCTGATGGCCTCCTGTATCCGCTTGAGCTTCTTCTGCTCCTGGGCCTTCATCTGCTTCTCGCGCAGCTGCTTGCGCTTCTTGCGCATCTCGATGAACTTCTGCTGATCCTCGGGACTGAGTGCTGCAATGCGCGAGGCGTATTTGCGACGCTTCTCTTCCAGTTGGGCAGCTACCTCGGCGTCGGCAATCTGTTTGGCTGCCTCGAGCTTTTGCCTTTGCTGTTCCGCTTTGGCGGCAGCAGCGGCTTGTTCCGCTTCCTCGCGTTGTTTACGCTCCTGTTCGGCTCGTTGCATGTCCGCTTCCAGCTGACGATTGCGCGCCTTTTCCTCTTCCTGCAGCTCCTGACGCAGTCGCTCCTCCTCTTCTTCTAACTTACGCTTGTCGGCCTCGCGCTGGGCAATTTCCGCCTCGCGCTGGCGTTGTATCGCCTCGCGGCGCTCATTTTCTTCGTGCAGACGTTTCAGTTCACTCTCCTCGAAGCGACGCACCGCGTCTATACGTTCCAGTTCCGCACGTTTCTCCTCCTCCTGTTGTTCGCGGCGTATTTGTTCCTGGCGCTGGCGTTCCTGCTCCTCCAACTGCTCCTGTATGGCCTTCTGCTCGCGACGCTTTGCCTCGTGCGCCTCTTGTACTTTGCGCTCCTGCTCCGACTTGGCCTCCTGCAGTTGCTTCTCATACTCTTCGCGCAGACGCTTCTCCTCGGCTAGACGTTCCTCAGCATAGCGTCTATCGGCTTCCTCCTGTTCCGCCTTCTGTTTGCGTAGCTGTTCCTCGCGTGCCTTCTTCTCCGCCGCCTCACGCTCTCGCTGAATCTGCCGGCGCTTCTCGCGCAAACGCTGCGCTTCATCATCGATGGCACGTTGGCGCTCTTCTTGCTCCTGCTTCTGCTTTAATCGCTCCAATTCGCGCTCATGCTCATCCTTGCGTTCCTGTATCTGTTGCTTCTCCCGCTGCTCTCGCTGCTCCCGCTCCTGTTTCTGCTGCTCTTCCATGGCGCGCTGACGCAATGCATCTGGTTCGCTTTGCGGCTCATGTTGCTGCAATTGCTCTCGCTCCCGTTGCTGCTGCTGTGGGCGCTGCTGCTCCTGCTCCTCGGCTGGCTTGTGTTGGCGCTGCTCCTCAAGCAACTTGCGACGTCGTTCCATTTTCTCCTGGCGCATGCGCTGCTGGCGCTCGCGCTTGCGTTCCTGCCGACGTCGCTCCTTCTGCCGCTCACGCTGCAGCTTACGGTCATAGGAGGTCATCTGCTGCGGCGTAGTGGGCGTGCCAGGCTGGGCAGCACTCGTTGAGGCCACCTCATTGCTGATCACTCGCGGCTGCTGAGTTGTGCTCACACGTGGCCGCTTGCGTGGACGCTTCTGCTGCTGTTGATGTGGATAGTTGACGTCGTTGGGGTGCGTTGGCTGCGGTTGCTGGCGATTGCGTTGCGGGTAGCGACGATGGCCGGGGCCTCGCCTGCGGGCGGGAATAATCATTTCCTCAGCGCTGCCCTCGGCTTTAACGCGGCGATGAAATCTGCACACAAACAAATAGATATTAGCTGCTGTTCACGAGATAAATGAATAAATAATTAATTATTAATTGTGTATATATCCTTTTAAAATTAATATTTCCCCCTTCTCGGTTCACAGGTGGAGTCTGTGAATCTGGCTCTGGAGATTTTGGATGATTACATTCTGCGCGGCCACAAGATACATGTGCAGCGTGCACAATTTCAAATGCGTGGCGAATACAATCCGGCCCTGAAGCCCAAGCGCAAAAAGAAGGACAAGGAAAAGTTGCAGAAAATCAAAGAAAAGTAAGTAATACACGACAATTCACTTGAAGAAAATCAGCTGAATATTATGTTAATTCACAGATTGTTTGACTGGCGACCCGACAAAATGCGTGGCGAACGTTCGAAGAACGAGAAAACAGTCATCATCAAAAATCTCTTTACGCCAGAGCTCTTTGAGAAAGAAGTGGAGCTTATTTTGGAATATCAAACCAGTTTGCGCGAAGAGTGCGGCAAATGCGGCATGGTTCGCAAAGTGGTCATCTATGATGTGAGTACTAAAAAGTCCGACTATTATACATTGATATTAACCCAGTATAATATCATTGCAGCGCCATCCTGAGGGTGTCGCACAGATCAACATGTCCACACCCGAGGAAGCTGACATTGTCATACAAATGATGCAGGGTCGGTACTTTGGACAGCGACAGCTTAGCGCAGAGCACTGGGATGGCAAGACTAAATACAAGTGAGTCGCATTTGAGGATTTCAAAAGTAGAAAATCTAAAGCAAATTGTATTCCTTTGCAGAATTGATGAGTCAGCCGCTGAGGCATCTGAACGACTATCCAAATGGGACGAGTTTTTGGCAGCCGAGGAAGCCACCAAGCACGAGGCAGCAGAGGCGCCGAGCGGCAGTCCGCAGGTTTCAGATGACACTGCTTAAGGTGCGTGACCCTTTTATCACATCAAATATCAAATTAACAAACATTTTTTTGTGTCTTACAGTTGCCTGGTGAGTGTATTTTTGTATTGTTTTTATTTTACGTACCTGCGATCCTTGCCACGTCGATCGATTACCTCCAAAACGACCTCATTGGCCAGGGAATTGGGATAGGTGACATTCCAGCGATGGTAGATCTTATAACGATTCGCTTCACTCACTTTTGGCATCTTGTGCTGGCATATGAAACGCAATTTATCGGGACAGGAGCGTGCCGACCAACGATATTTCAAGCTCGGATCGTAGACAGCGCAATTATTATCCAATGGCTTGCTGTTGGAGATAAGTTGCACATAGCTAAAATTGTTGCTTAAACATTAAACGACCCGCAAAATAAACTACACAAAACTCAATCATAATCGGATTCATACGTACGTCGGATCAATTTGGCTAAACGCATCGTATGTCAGATTGCGTCCACTGATGCTCCATTGCCAGTTGTGGTTATGATGATCGTAGGTGCCGCCAATCCAAATGGGATCGTGTTCTGCCAATTTGCAAGTGTTTTTTTTTTTTCATTAATATTCATATTGAGCTATTTTTTTTTTCCATTATTTTAACTTACCGCCCGATAACGAATCCTCGCGTTGCAAGTAGATTCTCAGCTTACGGTCGGCAAACTTGGTGGGCTCGGCCAGATTGGCGTTCTTATCCTTGCAGAAGAAGTGCGCCTCCAGCCAGCTGCTGCGCTGCTGCACCAGCGAGTAGCAATCGGTGCCGACGCGTTGGAATTGTGGTGGGCACATGGCATACATGCGACGATTGTGCGCCTTTGTGGGTGGCACAGCCACGGCCGCGTCATGTGGAGAGGGGTCATTGGCAAAGCTGACACCGGCGCTGGCTGCGCTCATATGTAACTGTGCCTGGCTTGTGTGCGCCACTGTGTACAACATGGACGGATACATTAGGGAGAAGAATATGATAATCATTAGATGTTGGCCGTACAATGTGGCGTATGCGGAATCTACTTACATAAACCTAAGGTAATTACTAGGCAGCTCAACATGATGTGGCTGCGTTTGCTGCTCATGTTGCACGCTTGACGATTCCTTGCTGCAATTGTTGCTGTTGCTCTTGTTTTTGTTGTTGTTGTCGTCGTTGCTCGGTTGGCAATTTATTTTCCTTGCTCGCTGGGCAACTTTTTACATTGCACTTGAAATGCTGAGGCGCTGAAAAACATAAATAAATGTTAAAACATTTATTATACGCTGAACTCAACTCTTAACTCATCTAATGCTGTTTATCATATTTGTGGAAAATACAAAAAACTAAATGGCAAATGCTTGCGCGAATGGATGTGGCAACGCCGGCGCAAAGACAAATTGAGCTGGCGAGTGAGATTCTTGAACGGATTTGTGTGATTTATTAACGAGCCATTCATAAACAAATTTGACGCTCGTTCAACTGACCAAAAAAACAATTCGCAACTGGCCCAGCAAGAGCTCGTGTCTTGGGCCAACGCCTGCTGTCTGTCAGCGCGCTTGGCTCATACGGCTGTCTGTTTATGTGTTTATGTGGATTTCCACTTAACACTTTCTGAAATTGGCTAGCTACTGTTGCATTCTATTTTCAATTTGTTGACTTGTGTGCTTGTAATTTACCTTGGCCCATTGGGCGTGACACACAGTTTAAGCTGGCTGTAAATATCAAACGGCTTTTAAGCTCCATTTGAAATAGTCAATTGTTTGTTCGTTTCACGTGCCATATTGCAGCTGGCTTTAATCTAAAATTAGCTATTATTTGTTGGCACGGTTTGTGTGTGTGGCTTATTAACATTAGTTTAGTCTCAATGACACTAGCTGCTGCATTAATCTGCTGAGCGAAGAAACCGTCTTTTCTGAATCGCTTCCTCTCAGTCAACCTCCCGCTTTTGTTTTTTAAGTGACTAAAAAAAACCAAAATTTCCATGAGAATCGCAAAGAAGGGCGATACTTTAAAGACACAGAAAACTGGAGGCACAAAAATTAAAATAATTTTATTTGTAAACCTAAGCGCCCTTCCAACAACAATTAAGTATTTGTTGAATATAAATATCATTTGCTTTTTCCAATTAAACGACGTCTCTGGCGCTGCTCGTACTCGTAGCACAGGCGCTGCCAAATGCCCAGGCACATGTGCACCAGACGCCGGTCGTGCTTTTTGTGCTCCCCACATGCGAATCGGTATTGTGCGCGTATTAGAAACTTGGCTCGTCGCAGTTGACCACGTTGTATAAGGGATATGCTATAGTAGAGCTTGCAGCGCGCCTGCACAAACGGATCACCCAGGCGCAGGCCGATTGTCAGCTGCTGGAGTGAGATCTGACCCGCTGCCTGAGCGCAGCCTTCGAACTGGTCGCCAAGCGCCGAGTAGCCGCCACCCAGCGTGGACAGCCAGCACATAAGCTGCTCCAGCTCGATGTGCCGGCAAATGGTGTGCGCCAACATATCCGCCCACTTGTAATCGATGGCCAAACGTTCTGGGGGACGGAATGCCAGCCACAGCAGCTGGACACCTAGATCATGCAGCAGCAAATCGTGCAGCACCTGCTGCTGCAACACTTCACGCAACACATAGTTGCCAATAACCGCATCCAGCTCCAATTGCAAACGTCGCACAGTTTTAATCTTAGCCTGGTTGTTGCCCTCACCACTGGAGAGCACTTGAATGCGGTCTGGAAGTGGACGATTGTAGAAATGGCGACGCCTCGAATAGTCGCAGACGCACACAATTAGCTTCATGCTGGACTTAAAGCGGGGATTGAAGCCAGCTTTAGGCGAGTTTCTTTCGAACTTCTTTTATGATATTAGTCTTCAAACATATTCACTGAAAAACGACAAACTGTGCTGCATACTTTTTGGCTGCAGCGAATATTTCCAAAATTGGCGTGTGCCCGAAATTTCATTCAGTCTACAAAAGATTTTTGAAGCTTTTGGAATTGAGTATTTTGTTAAATGAACATAATTCCCACAGCATTGAGTTGAGTTCCGAAATATGAGTATTTAGAGATATCTAAATCTGTTTATTTTTAAAAGCATGGGCAAGTATCCGACGACTGAGGGCATATATAATATATATGCAGTGCATTTCTAAAGTCATCTGATGTGATCATATATAAGTATTAGGAAATGTAGACAACAGTCTGACGGAACGCTATAAATCATAATCAGTCATATAGTTGATAGGAGATAAGATAGATGTCTGTCTGACAGTCAGAAATGTCAAATAGTTGATAAATGGGTTATTTCTGCATCGAATGACTTCACGTTGTTGCATCACATGTGAAAATTCAAGATTTTATCTACCCAAGTCGCTCAGTTAGTTCCATTAAGACTTTTTACAACCTCTTCCACTTCTTCTGTCATATTTTCTCGCTCTTTGATTATCTCTTCGACTAAACTGCGATTGTGTCACATAATTGAGCCATTGGAGTCTGTTGCTCCTAGCTGATGGCTAACTGAGCGCCTTAGGCAGCGCGTTGCTGTTGGCCATTCGAATTGCCAATTCCAACGCGTCAATTTCGCTGCTAATCATATATAATTTTTGTTGTAAAATAATTCATGCCTGTGCACATACATATACGCACATAAATTAAAAGTGCCGCCGGGCCCAGGTTGAAATCCCAAGTCAATTGCCAAGCACAACCCGCTTGACGGCTTTGGCAGACACTGCGACTGTCGCCGCTTGGAGCACAGCTGAGCCAAGAGTCGGCGACAAATTCCTCAGCAATGACGTCGGCGACATGGCCTGACATTGGCCATGGGCCTATGTCTCAGTTACTGTTGTAATTGTCTGTCTGTTTGTTTATTTTGAATACCACCCGCTTCACATTGTGTGTACTCCACGCTGATGGGCCTTCATGGCTCGGCACATTTGTTTGTAGAGCCAATAAGTAGTAGACGCCACCCACAACTACTCGTAAATCCACTCGTAAACTGTGCTGGCCCATATGAGTGCAAGTGGGCGACATTTGAGTGATTTATGGCCGCCTTTGAATGCATTTCGCAGTGGGAGCAGACAACATTCAAATGCCATTCGTTGACAATTTATAGATATTTATCCAAATGTCTGACTGCTGAGTCTCGCTGACCTTGATCTTGAACTTGTTGGGCGTGTCTCGGTCTGGGCTGATTTTTATAGGCATCTATTACAGCATCGCAGCACTTATCGTAACATCCATCAGGCATGCAGTTGCGATGAAGTCACTTTTGCTGATGGTTTTTATTTATTTGCTATTTGGTTAGCTCTTTACGAAAATGTGTTCTTAATTTGATTTTCAAAATTCGACCAGTTCCCGGAAAGCGAAATCGTAAACAGTCGCAGTAAATGACAAAAATTCACACGAAACAAATCAATCAACAGGGCGAGAAGCTTAGGGAACTTTAAGTTTTACGAGCGACTTGAATGAATGCGACAAGCGGGTGTGCAGGAGGCTTAGATACTCTGTATAGCTTCGCAGACGAACTCGCGAGTCAACGGAGGTTATGAGAGTATATCAGAATATAGCTATAAATATTAATTGCTCAAGAATTTTTAAATTGTACAAGCTATATACACCCTTACGCCAAGCATTACAGGGTATGCAAATGATATATGGCAAGCTTAATCCTCACAATCTACAACACTATCCAATTTTTATTTTTATAGCTGTCTGCAAAGATCGAAAGATCTTTGGCATTTTTTTAATTTGAAATGCGCGCGCGTTTTTTTCGAAATGAAGTTGAGAAATGACCAAAACTTGCTTTTTATGTTGATAAATGAGTTAAGGGCGTGTTTAGACGAAAACTAAATAGTTGATTGTGTTTTGGGGAACGTTCTGAATTTGAATAAGCCTTGAAAACACACACTTAAGACTTATGCTAAATTGGGCTTAGTTCAAAAACCTCATGAATATGTGGTCAATCTTTGGTTTTGATAACTTTATGATTGTCCAACAAAGCGCAAAATGAAATATGCCCAATAAATTGGATTCACAAATTACTTGCGAGTGCAAATAGTATTTTTGAATGATCTGTCAATCAGCACTCAACAGAATTAGGAAGCTAGACGAGTGTTTTCCTAATTGAGCTAAGCACCCACACATCAATTCTCACTCACTCAACCAGTCAACCAGCCAGCCAGTCAATCAATCAGTCAGCCAATCAGCCAATTTAAAGCGAAATGCAGCATCATTTGGTCTTAACCTCTTGACGCGGGTTCAATGCGAACAGCTGCCTCATAAATCTTCGGAATGCTCTTGGATTATTGGGTCTCGATTTTGGAAGCTGGCAAACCGGTTGATAGCAAACAAATTGTCGACATTATTCTTACAACATTCAAACGAACCGCAAAATAAAAAATTAAATATATACTAATAAAGCAAAACGTAAACAAATCAAAGCAGGAAAGCAAATATCAAATAGTAGAAATAAAATATCTTCCTACAGTTAATATTTGGCAACTACTGCTCCCACAAGCCGCGCTCCAATCAACTCCAATTAAATTAACCCGTTCTGGGCATAGTTAATTAAGTTGCAGGCAACTAATTGAAGTTCCTAATGCGAGCTAGCATATGATTTGCATAAATTCCAGTATTAAATAAACAAAACGACAAGAAATGTTAAAGAAATTCAGGTTAGTGGTTTCATTAAACAATCATGTACCAAAAAGTATTAACTTTATAAATATTCCAATACACGCATTTATTGTAGTTGTATTTCCGCTCTTAATTAATTTATGCGCATTTTATTGATCTCATGTGTTGCGTATCAAAACCGCACCACAGACCAACTGAAATTTTTGCGAAAAAAATAAAAATACAAACAAATGAAAATGACCACAAATGGCAATATAATACAGACAATTGTACAGCCAATCAGATACCCTTTAAACTAAAAAGCAAACTCTTTACTCGAATATCATTTTTACCTGTCGGAGTATCTATTGGGAATATGGTTCTTTTTAGTATTACTATTATAAAACTTATCAAATAGTTAAATCATTTTGTCGCTTGTTTCAAGTCGATTTCACTTAAAGCGGGGGTTAACCGACGTTGCTCGGACTAATTCTAAAATTCTACATACATTCATTTTTGATTTCCACGTCTCAAATGATATTTTCATATGAGTTGCAAGTCGATTACAGGATAATGAGTTTGGGCTCGATTGTGAGGTGAGCATATTCCATCAATTTTCCACGCTCACGAGTGAAA